CCCCCGGCCCCCGGCTCGCCTGCCCAGCGTCTCCCTCCCCTCCCCACCCAAACTCGGCCTCTGCCCGGCACACCTCAGGCCCCACCGCAGACTCCCTCGTCTTCGTCTTCCGTTTCCCAGGCTGTGCCTCACTTGGCAGGAGCTTCCGTAACGTCTGAACGATCCTTTGCGCCCTGCCCGGCGGTCCCACCCAACCTCGGCCTCTGCCCGGCACACCTCAGGCCCCACCGCAGACTCCCTCGTCTTCGTCTTCCGTTTCCCAGGCTGTGCCTCACTTGGCAGGAGCTTCCGTAACGTCTGAACGATCCTTTGCGCCCTGCCCGGCGGTGTCGGGTTAGGCTTTCTTCTCATTCCCCTCCCCAAAGGAGCCTGATCTTCCTTCTGCTTTGCCTCCTGTCCCCCCCCCCGCCCTTCTGTCTCCCGCTCCTCCTGCCGTCGCCCTGTCTCCCCTCGCCCGCCAACTGACCCAAACTTTCTCCCCTGGCGTTTATTTTGCGGCCCCATAACCCTCCCCAAACAAGCCCGAAGCCACCCCCTTCCCCGAATTCGTTCCCGTAGAGAGAGGCGTCCAGTCTTTCTCCTCGTTGTCCCGGGTCTTCCCGATTTCGAGACGCCTTCTCACGTCCAGCGGCGCACGACTCTCTTTGACACGCGGATTCTGCCCTTCGACGTTCGCGGTTGCCAGACGAGCGGCGGAATCCCAGGCACAGAAGTCAAAGGAATGTCGACTGCGAGAGCTCTCCATAGGGTTGCACGGCAAATGTTGCCGAAGTCACCCTCCTACCTACATTTCTCACCACTTTAACCTCCCCCTTCCGCCTTCACACGTGCATTGTTTTGTCACGCTTTTTTTTTTTTTTTTTTTTTGGTCCCGGGGCTGATGCAGGGTCCCTTTCTACATTTCGCACGGGGAGAATCCCACCCAATCGCGGTCCGGGATAGGGACCCTCCCCAACCGGGGGTGGCTGCAGGTGTTTTCTGCGAAGGGCTTTTCAGTGGCCCCCAACCCTCCCGGCGTGGGCGTCCTCCCCCGAGAGCCAGCCTCTCACGTGCCCGGAGAGCCCGCCTGGGTGCTGGGCGCTGCCGCCTCCCCGAGGAGCCGGCTTTCCCCCTCCGCTGGAGGCAGGTTTGGGGCGTCAAGGGGAAGGCGGTTCGAGACTGGAGCGGGGTCCAGAGGACAAACGTGTGATCCGGCCTGGGCGCTTCCTCCCAGCGCAGACTCAGCCGCGGCGCGCTTTATAGACCGAGATGCCTCATTTCATTTCTGCCGGGTTTTTTTGGGGGGGGGAGGGGGGGGGGGGGGGGGGGGAGCGCTGCCTCTGGAAGGGACTCGAGGCCCTGACGGAGCCCACAGAAATCTCGGGCCAAGCTCCACTGGGGTGAACGGATCGGGCTGTCTTCAGCGACGGGGCACACGCCACACTTTTGTGCGCTGCGCAGCCTATTCATTACATTTAACGAAGGGAATAAAAAGGGCCCACACCGAACAGAGTTTCCCCGTTATTCGGTCTCCCCCAGAGTTTGATCCGCGTGCCTGAACTGGTGCTTCGCGGTTGCGTATGGGCATACCCCCCGATGGCCTTCGAGAACTGCAGATCTGGAAGCACGGGGTAAAGCCCTGGGGGGGGGACAAATCCTCCGCGCGCCCCCCTCTTCGTGGAAGAAACAACTCTCAAGAAGAAACACCCCCACCACCCCGAGATTCGGGCCCTGGTGCGTCTGCTGCCCAGACCCAGGCTGCCCGGGGAAGTCCAAACCCTCCACCCACCGGGGACTGACCGCCCCTGGTCCCACCCACCGCGACGCCAACCCCAGGCTTCAGGAGCCCGCAAAAGAAGCAAAGAAGAATCGGCTGCCACCTCGTCGAGTATTCCAGATCCATGGGAAAGAGGTGGGGGGGTCCAGGGGCTCCGCTCCATCGGGGATCCGGGGTTGCGGTACCGCCCCCCCTCCCCAAAGCAGAACAGCCCCAAGAGGAGCGGGTGTAGCTAATCGAGATCCCCTCGCTTAACATTAAAGTTGTTAAGAGAATAACCATCACCTCTATGATCACCCCCCCACCCCAATAGACATGGGGAGGGGACAAGGCTGCCCTGCTCATCCCCATCTGGTCTTTCTCACTGGATCTGCAGAAGAAGTCTGTTCAGGCAACCCCAGAGCCATTGGGAGAGACCCTTCCCTGGGTACCACTGGGGAGGGGGGGAAATGGGAGGAGATCAGACTTTTGGAGCAGCATCAAGCTGGCATAAAATGGGGCTCTTATTCCTACCCCCTCCATGCATCCGAATTGGCCAATCTGTAATGGCACTTTGTCGCTCCCAGTGAGTATTTTTGACTCCAGTTCTTGTGGCTCCAGCTCTCTCTCCCCCTCCCCCATCATTGGTATCATTCTTCTACACCCAGCCCTTCCCAGCACCAAGGGGGGAAATGTGTTCTTCCTTATAGGTACAATTTTTCTCCTTCTCTAAGGCTCAGCAGGACAGGAGACAAATGAGAACCACAGAGCTTCCCTCTGAATTCAAGCAGCATCACTACCCATTTCCCAGCCCAGGGGTTTTAATAAGCAACTAGGAAGGTAGCCTCTTTATTCCAACCCACCCCCAAAACAAAACAGGGTTCTGTGTGCGTGTGTATGAGTGTGTGTGTGTGAGAGAGGGCGTTTTGTTTTTCAGTTGCAGGGAGAATGCTGATTCCATTCCAGTTCTACGTATTCAACTGCTGCATCCAAGAGAAAAGAGATGGTCTGGCAAAATTAAGGGCAACCTGACTATTGTGCTGCCAACATAAACAGCTGAATATTTAAAGTGGCTAAATCCCAGCAGAAACAGATGAATTGAACAACAGCTCCATCTCAACTATACCTCTGAAGCACATACATCTGGTTAAGATGTACCTTATTTTAGTGAAATCATCCTTAGGAGCAGGCTGAGAACTTCATTACAATACATCCAAGTGGGTGTTGGGTCCCCTACTTCATACTCCTTTAAAATCTTTGGCAGGGTATGAGCTTTTGTGAGTCACTGCTCACCTCTTCTAAAGAAGTGAGCAGTGACTCACAAAAGCTCATACCCTGCCACAAGTTTTGTTAGATCCCAGGAGGTCAGCTGTGTTGGTCTGAAGCAGTAGTTTTACTTTGTTGGTCTTAAAAGTGCCACTGAACTCTATTTGTTCTACAAATTGTGTTAGTCTTTAAGGTGCTACTGGACTCATGCTCTTTTCTACTGCTATAGGCAGACTAACATGACTATCCACCTTGATCTTTAAAATCTTTTTTATTAAACTACTGAAGAGGGTAATCTTTCCATGTTGACTAGGACAAATAAATATAACACATGTGAATCCACCTTTCTTCCTTCCAACAAACCACTGTATCATAGATAAATATCACACACAAAATAGACTACTTTTTATTTATTAGAGATTGTAAGCAGATCAAAGTCTGGTTCCATAAATGAGAGTAAAATGGTTATTTAGTACAGGAGAAAGTTAATTGAACATCAAACAAATACACATCTCCCCCAGACATCTCTTTGACAAAATGCTGCAATCTCTTCCATACATTAAACTCGTAATGCTGGCTAGAAAGCAGGAATTCAGTTTCAACCACTCTGGTTTAGAATGGCCAAAATCCCATCAAATAAATGAAGAACAAGAAGATTTCTTATTCTTCAAAGAAGAAACTATTAGATATAGGAAATTGTTCTTGTATCCAGAAGGCTGCCAGGGGACTGTAGTTATAGCTGAGTTGTTCTCTCTAGGCTTTTAGCTGCATCTTTTAATTTCCCAACTAAATCCTAAAAACAAGGAGTCACAACTTTAGAAACAAAATGTTATGAAGTACACATTGAGTCATCTGCATAAATGAGAGTGCCATGAAACTCTATTGTCCTCAAAGCAGACTGAATTTACATGTGAAAAACTCAAGTGACAAATGTGTTAAAAAGAATTTACCATTCTGCCCATAATGTGACAATTAATATTCCTGCATCTTTATGAAACATATAGCTGTTTTGTCATATTTTAACAGAGAATACATGCTATTTTTAATAGGAATGTTGTGCCAATAATGTTGTGAAATTCAACTACTGGCCTCAAAACTAAACACACATTTCCTTACTATTGAATGGACTAAAAACAAAAGGATCCAGCAATTTTCTAAGGTTTCAGTCCTAAATATACTTCTATGAAAGTACGTTCCTTCAAAACCAACAGAATTTTTAAATAAATGCAGAGTGTGAAACTAAAGTGACTCGATACGACTCTAACATTACAATGAAACTTATATCTGCTACTTCCACTTCTCAAACTTGTTTCAATCCTTTATACTCAGATATGACCTTATATTCCTTTTTGACAAACTGCAAGCCTGTTTGGATAAAATGTTCAATTTAAAATTCTTCCATTTTAAAAAAGTAAAACTATCATTAATATAGATGAGCCCACTTCCATGTTACTTTGAACACTGAGTATCACAGTAGACAGTTGCTGAAAAACAGTGTCCTCTCCAATATGACACTTAATTTGCAGTTTTCCCCCTCTGGAAAGCATTTACCTATAAAATAGCATCATGATGAAACTAAACTTTAAAACATCACATTATAAAAGACAGACAAGCAAAACACTTTAATCATTTTTTAAAATACAGGCACTCCAACACATTTTTCTAGATAATGTTGCAAAGTTTATTTTTGGGAAGAGAGTTCATTCTGATGACACTAGAGACTCACGCACAACAACATGATATGAAGAAATACCTGTAATTGCTCCATAGAACAACTAAAATTAAGGTCCGGGTGAGATCTTGAGTCACTACTCTAAAGAAACAAAAAACCCCAAAGTTAGAGGTTTACATCTGACAAAGTGAAAGAAACCTTTATTGTGTAATAGTGAAAAATGTAAAACGACAGATACATTACCTCTACGTTTAAGGTCATCAGATAGGCAGGATGATAATTTTTATGAAGCTGATTAGTCTAAAGTGATAACAATGCAGGGGGGAAAATCAGCATTTACCAGAGAAAAAGAAAGCAGAAAGAAGTAACACCCACAAGGCCTAAATTACCTTTATTTGATATTCCAGACGCCAAGAAACATCCATTATATGCAGTGGACATCTGCCTACACTGTAGAACACAATGATTATCTTTATGCTGTGCGGGACAGCCTGACTATTGCATATTTTCTTCAGATCCTAAAATAGGTTACTGTACTTTCACATTAAGAAGAGTTCAAAGTTTAGAAAGGCAAGACATTAAAGACAGCAATCCTAAACAGGTCCCCTTGGAACCCTATTCAGGTCTATTCAATGGGTCTTACTCCCAAGAAAGTGCTCTTCGGATTGCATTGCTTTTGTTTCAGTTTATAAAGGTGCAGAATTGTAGCCATTTTAAGTAGGTCCCTAATAGTGGTAATTTAAGGGTACATTTGAAATTAAGGGTAAATACTAACTTGACATACCTTCCCAATAAGATTTCCAAGGAATCTTTATTTTTCTGCAAAAAAATAAAGGAGGGGAAAGTCTGCTATCTGCTACAGATTCAGCAAATAATATATGAAAAACTGAATAAAATAGGATCAACTTGGCTTGAAAACCTGATATTCAGTGCAAAACTCTTCAATTCTTTCTCTGTCAAACTTACAGTCTTCTAGGCAAGTGCTAAAAAGGGAAGGGGGGGGGGAGAAACCAAAGGCATGAGTTAACTGTAGCTCCAGAACAACAGAAAACTGAGGATTTAAAACCGGGATCCCTATAGAAATTCATCAGAGGACTGAAATACCTTATGACAGATCTCTCAGCTCTGTTTTTTCCAGCTTCCACTATACAAGTTGCTGCCGCTGCATGGCAATATTTTAACACTGCCGGTTCAATATGTTCCAAGTCTGGATGATCTAAAAATAAATGAGTGGTTGTTGATAGACTTAGGGGGAAGTTTTCAAATATTTGTTGCTTATATTAGTGCTTAAAACTTTCCCTAGGGATTAAAGGGATTTATAGTTACAACTATAATATATTGACCGCAAAAAAAATTTTTTTACTTTTTTTTACATACAGAGTCAACATTAAGCCTTAGGGGTGGAGGAAGCTTCCCCACAATTTATCTAGGATACATTTCTCCAAGAGCTATAATACAACCTCCGATATTTCCAGTGTTTCTTGTTTCAAATTTGCCCCACTAAGAATTCTGACAACGTAATGCAAAACTAAAGAAAGCGATCTCGAGTTTTCTATATAGAGCGTCCTGGTTTTCCCCTTTGCACTTCGTTTGTACACCGAATTCCTGAAACTAACTGGCAAGCGTCAATTTATGGAACAAGTTAAAGGTCAAGTGTAATTGCAAGAGTTAATGACATTTTTAGACACGGGAGAAAGAAACGCTCCAAAAGAGAAACATATTTTGAGCCTCTTTTTTTTTTTGCCGGAAGACACCCGGCATCGGGAGTGAAGTGTTAGCTTGGAGCGCCAAACTCAGAATCTGCACAGGCTCGCTCTTTTCTAAACTGCCCTCCTGGCTTCAGGACTGGCTGCAAACTCTCCTTCGCTAAAATTTCGAACTTTGTGCCAAGACTCCCTTAAGTAAACAGAACTCTAAGTCGACAACCGCCACCCGAGCAAGGCTCCCCCGGAGGCCGCGCATTTCCCCGGCCAGCCCGTTGCCCCGCCGACCGGGCGAAGGGCTGCCCACCCCCGCCTCCGCCGCGAAAAGCGGCCGGCCCAGCCTGGAGACCAGACCGCTTCTGCCAGCGTGCGATCGCCGACCGAGGACCGACGCCCGAAAAGAGCGCGACTCCCGAACCGGATTGATGCGACCCACCCCCGGGCCAGCGCCGGGGAAAGGAGTCGGCAACCAAGCCGAGGCCAGCCGGGCTGCCGAAGCCACTTCGGCTTTCCAAAGCGAGGCCGCCAAGAGGCGAGCGAGGCGCCTTCGCTTCTCTGCAAAAGGAAGCAGTAGCCGCAGGGTGGGGGGGAGAGGGAGAGGGAGAGAAGAGGCCAAAACAAAGAGCCAGGCAGCCTATTCAAGCCGGGGGTGGCTCCACTAGCGCGGCTGGCGACCAGGGGAAAAGCAGACGCTCCCTGCCTTGCGGGCCACGGCTGGACCGGGGGAAGAGAGAGACCCCCACACACACACCCCGCCCCGCCGGGCTCTCCCCGGCTTCTTTTGCCTCCCCGCGGCTGGCGCTTCCGCAGGCCCGGCGGCGACGGCACTCACCCAGCGCGGCCTGGTCGGCCTGGCCGCCCAGCAGGCTCCGGAAGGCGGCCTGCAGCAGGGCGGCGTAGGCTCGCGGGGAGAAGCAGCCCGGGTCTGCCAGGCGCTGCAAGCCGCTCTGCACAGGCTCCGACAGCTCCATTGTGAGCCTCGCCGCGACCTTTGACACGCCGCCCACGTGATCCGCCGCGCGCTCAGCTGATCCTGCCGCTCAAGAGCAGCCACGGCGGCGGCGGCGGCGGCGGCTGAGACCCAGGCAGAGCCAGCAAAGGCAAGGAGCCCTCGCAGCCGTCAGCTCAGTGGCCATTCGCTTGCTCTCGCAAATCCTTTTCGTGCCATCAAGTCGCTTCCCCCCCCCCTTCTCTTTATTTTTTTAAAAAAGGCAGCTCTCTCTGCATTTGCGAAATAAAAAAGGGCATTTATTTATTTCCTCCTTTCTTCTACGGCTGGAACTCCCCAGTACGGTTGTTGTTGACCTTCTTTGGGAACCGAAATGCCATCTTTGATTTATTTCATGGGAGATGGCCGAGGAAGCGAGTTTTTCTGAGCGCCCCGTGAGTTAGTTCCCAGGCACAGGAAAATGCTCTCGCTTTCTCTCTCCTCCCTCAAGCTTGTTATGTTTTTATAGCAAATAGAATAGGATCAGTTGTCGTTAGGAGTCCTGGTGTAATTTTCCGTAAGGCAAATGGCTTCAGACAGAAAGAAAGCATAAAACTGGACGGATCTGAAAGTTGCACGCAAACGGTACATATTTGTTTTTTTGGTGAGGTTAGTAGATAATCACGCTTTCCCCAGCAGTCGATCTTAAAAAACAGTCGTCTTTTTAAAATCTTTCTTTCTTTCTTTCTTTCTTTCTTTCTTTCTTTCTTTCTTTCTTTCTTTCTTTCTTTCTTTCCAAAAGCATATGTTAGCTATTCAAATATTCCTTTTTAGTTGTTTACAGTATAAATACACTATTTATAATTTTGGAAAAAGTTAATAGCATTTTCAATGCCATTAATTCTGTAAAGTAGATCTTAAAGACAGGGAGAAGTCGTCCTTTACATGTAGGTCTGGAATAGCTCACTGAACTAGGCCACAGGAAGTTATTAATCTGAAACTTGTTTTTGCTGATTTTTCTGCCCCCCCCCCTCCAATGAGTTAGTCCCTGCTTTACAAGCAGCCTCCTTTTGCACAGAGCCTAAAGTATTATGCTACTGGTATCCCAGAGTAACTTTTTAGCAATTTAAGATGTGTTCTTTTGCTAAAGTAGGCTCCGGCCCACAAAAGCTACAGACTACACTTGTTATCCTTTATGTTGCTTTAATAATTGGTTGTGTGTTTTTTCCTGTGACTGACTTAACACTGTTGCCCCTTTGGAATGTGTCCCTTTAAATGTGCTAGTGCATTTATATCTGTCTATAAATAAAAGAAGTTGTAATTCCTGGAAGAGGAACTCTGGAGATCAAGCTTCTCTGTTAAGAAAGAGCTGAATAATATCTACAAATACAGGAGATGATTAAGAAACACAGCCTTAACTCAGTGCTTTGTCAACAATTAATTCTGGATATTTTCATTATATAATTTTTGAAATATTTAGCTAGGTTGATAGAGTTCAGCTGCTGGCGTGCATAGAAAAGAAGTCACAAGCTAGGTTTGGAAACGTTAGCTTTGTCCTTGTGGGAGGTTAATTCAGTGGATGAGGGGCTGTGTCCACAGCCTTAATTTCTGCTAGATTGAGTCTTCATTTCCTCATGGATTAAAATAGGATTACTTACGTGGCTACTTCAAGACCTGTGTGTTTCCTTCTTACCATTAACAAAATAATTTTCCTTGCAGCACAGCCATCGCACAGTTATCTATTAATCTTTTGACCTTTCAGTTTTAACAAGATTTTGGCTTTATTAACCACCTTGAAAGGATTTAAAATATTGAAGCCGGATAAGTGTTTTAAATAAATAAGAATTCATATTGCTAAAATATCAAAGATCTTCTGTTAATGATTGACATTATTTGTGTAGTTTGGAAGCCAAGTGATGCATCAGTTTCTCACACACACCCCCACACACTCTGTGTCAAAGCCTCCCCGTGATTTTTAAAGTGATCCTGGATTGTACCATAACTGCTGCGATACTGTAACTAGCTTCATTTAAGCTTTTCCCTCTCGTCTTACACAAGTTTATGTACTTCTGTTCAGAGCTGCTGCTGCTGCTAATATATACATATGATTTTCACTATTGTTGTAGAAATATGAGCCATAAATGCCAGTAAATGCATTAATGCAATCTTGGTTGCATTAATGTTTCTCATTAAAAAAACCCAAACATGCATTTAGCATGCTGTTGAAAGAAAACTTTCTTGAAATACAGCTTCCTTTAATATTTCCATGAAGAATGGAAATTGACACAGTGCAGATAATCATCTTTACCATAACCCTCTCTAGGAAAGGCCTACCAATTTCCCCCCTTTGAAAATCTCAAAGAATTTGATAGCCTCCACAGGCAGCTTGGTCCCTGCATATAATGTGGAGATCTCCTAAACAAGTTATGTGGTATTATTTTCATGCAGAATTTGAATCAAGATTGCTATACAGACTATCGCTTCTTCAGTCAGATCTTAATAAGAATGATAATCTAGTTAATGATTTAATTATAGTTCAATTAGTGGTTGATTTCTATTCTTGCTGTCTTCGATGCTGCAACTTGAACAATTTCATGTGAAGTCCTTCAGCAAATTAGCTGAAGCTGCTGAAGAGTATCAGTTTAATATTCCTGTAGTGAAGTATGCATTTATGCCATTTCATGATGGTTTTCACCTCCAGTATTGTCTGCCTTCTGGTAGTTTATTCTAGTTCACATCTACCAAGCTTTCTGAAGAGGTCAGGTAGTATTGGGCCAAGAACCTTGATGAAATCAAAAGTGTCTAATGTGCATACTGTTCCAAATGCTTGCTAAGAAGAAAATGTCATCGGGTCTCCAGCTCTGTTGTTTGTTGTTCATAACTGACTATTTAATGCCTTCTTTTCATTTATGATTTTAAGATTGGCTATGAGAAATAACACATTAGTTGATAGATTAGTGGGGCTTACTAAAAAGGGCATGTGTTTATTTATTGTTAGAGATATATTGGTTCCAGTGCATTACTGTAAATTGGGAATAAAAGATAGTTTTTCATTGTAACAGTATTTTATGTCATATATACTATCTCAAAAAGGCATCTATTGAGGTTTTCATGATTTAAAGCAACATGATTTAAAAGTGGTATTTTTGGCCACTGTGTGACAGAGTGTTGGACTGGATGGGCCTTTGGCCTGATCCAACATTGGTGTCTCTTATGTTCTTATGTGATCACTTGATTGATCACCTGTCTTTTAACCAACCAGTGGTTTGGTTTTTCTTAAGAGATTGGAATCTTGCTCTTGCTTTTTCCTTTATTTAGGACCACTCCTTTTTTTTTTGCTTCTCTTTGAGTTTTGAAATATAGTAATAAGTAAGAAGTAGTTATGAGATTTTTCTAAATACCTTTGGACATCTGGATAAATGAGAGGATTGGTGGATAAATATTGGGCCCTTGGATAAATGCTATATGGATCTGTTGAGCTGGATCCAAATCATAGCTTTTGAACCAACGATGCCCTTCTGTGCACAGAGGTAGTCTTTCCATTTTTTTGGAAAAAACTCCTTGGCTTTTACCAAGTCCAGATCTAAGTGTTATTTCACCAGCCTGTTTAATTTTGTGACAATTAAGAACTCATAGTAAACAGCTTTAAAACATACACAAGTAAATAGCACAAGTGTTTATAATTATGGGCTACTTCTTAAGCTTCTCTCAGTTTCAAAAGCTGGGTTTTTTGTGTGGGCACAAAGGGGAGGATTCTGTTGAACAAAGCCCCTCCTGCCCGGCCAGAGACATTGCCTTTATACATTAGAAGGTCTAAAACCATTTTGTTGTAGACTGTCACAATTGATATTTGCTCCAAAGTAGCCCCACAATCTTCAGCAGCAATCCTAAGGAATTGTAGGCTGTGGGAGGAAAATGTGTCCTTTAAAACTGTTGGAAAAATTGATTGCTGAAACATTTTACATGAAATTAAATTTTGATTTGCAAGGTTCCCCCCCCTTATTCTGAAAGGGTGCCTTACCAAGAGGTAAGAAACTTTAGCTTTAAAGTGAAACTGTTGACGAAACAAGAGTGAAAATGTGACATATGGGTATTTCCAGAGCATGCGAAACTGAACAGTGTAGCACAGTGGCTCTCATGTTATATTTATATGGGAAAAACATAGGTTCCAGTCTCTGCTCAGCCATGAGCTCAGTGGGTGGCCTTGAGCATGGCATCGTCTTCTGGCCTTGCTTACATGGACTTGTTTTGAGGTTGAGATGCTACTTTCAGCTTGCTGGAGGATGGTAGCAATCAAAATAATGAAGCATTCAAAACTGTTAAATAGAATGTTTCTGTGTATTTGCAAAACTTACAGTGCAGTCCTAAGTATGTGTACTTAGAAGAATCACTTTGTTCAGGGATCTTACTGCCAAGTAAATGTACAGTATTGAACAAAGTATATTTTCCTTACCCTCTTACAAGCAAATGACATGTATTTACAGTAAATGCTTAAATATACAACATATCACTTGTAGCTTGAGTCTTAGTGAGAAAGGAGAAACATAAATATGGTAAATAAATAGACAGATTGAAAATAATAATTATTCCAATAGTACTGGTGTGCTAGCTAGCAAGATTGTATTCTCAGATCTATTATATTCTCTAAACACCAGTTTTAGTATATAGTAAATTTAACATGACCAACTCTATCCATATATTTGAAATCAGTTTTCTAAGTATTTTAGTCTCAGGTTTTTCCTGACATACATATTTATCTGGATAAAAATATGTTCTTGATTACTTCTTGGAGATTGTTCCCTGATTCAGGATACTACTGCAGTTTTGAAAAGAATACAAATCAATACATGAAATCCATTTTATCTATCATGATTGGAACCCTTTGTTTTCAAAAGTTGTGGATTATTATGGATACAATTAAGTATTTATTCTGGCAAAGCTGAGTTTTGCTTACAGAAACACTGTCAGTTTGAAATGTGGTTATATTTTAAAACCATCTCTTTAAAAAATAAACCCTTCATTCTCTTTGTCATTCTGTGAGTTTCTTGTCTTTTGTGATGCTTTGTAGAAAAAAAGACATGCCCCAATAGG